GGGCCGGCAAGTGGCGTGGTGATTAAAGGCACTGCATTCCCACATGGCTGATGAAGTTCAAGTCCTGGACCTGGTGACTTGCTTTCTCACTTTCTTTCGCTCTTTTGCTCTCTCTCCCTCCCTCCCTCCCTCTCCCACTGTCCATCTCTGATCAAACTGAAATAAACAAATAAATAAATAAAGTTAAATAAAATAATTTTTAAAATTTTAAATGTATTTCTTTAAAATCTACAATTCAATGGTTCTTGGCATGTTCACCACAATTAATTTTAGTACATTTTTATCATCCCCGAAAGAAACCGGGTACTCATTAGCAGTCACCCCCCCACCAATTTCCTCCCAAGCCCTACAACCCCAGGCAAACACTAATCTACTTTTTAGCTCTATAGATTTACCATATTCTAGACGTTTCTTATAAACAGAATCATATCAATGATATTCAGTCACTGGCTTCTACTTTTTTTTTTTTAACAATTATTTTATTTAACTTCATTTATTCATTTATTTATTTATTTTAATTTGACCAGTGAGGGGCAGAGCAAGAGAGGAAGAGAGAGAGAGGAAAAGCAAGAAAGCAAGTGGCCAGGTCCAGGATTCGAACCATAGTAGGGCATGTGGGAGTCCAGCACCTTTAACCACCACATTACCTGCCACCCCCCCCTTTTTAAAAACAATTATTTATTTAACTTCATTTATTTATTTATTCATTCTACATTTTCTTTTAAAGCCCTCTACTAACTGAAAGCATAACAAAGAGGAGTCAGTAAATTCATGAATTTGAAACTAGCAAGATCAGCTTTGAAATCAAGATTCCTTGGCCAGCCCTGTCGGTTGGTAGTTAAGGGAGCTGGATCACACATAGCTGACTACAGTTCAAATCCTGACCTTGGCAGCTTGAAAAACACACAGGGTACATGTACACATTCTCAAAATCCCAACAGGATGGAGAAATGGTGGAGAAGGGATTGTGGGTGTGACCACACCCTCCTAGAGAGTGTACTTTCCCTCTTTGCCTCTTTCTCTGTCTCTCTGATTCTCTCTGGCAAGGGAACATGTCCTTTGGCAAATTAACAACAACAAAAAGGATCTTTAAGAGAAGACTTATGGGGACCAGCAGTTAGCATAATGGCTATGTTGCTGGACTCCCATGTAGTCAACCGTGGTTCGAGTCCCGGACCCAGTGGCTTAAAACTCATGCAGGGCGTGTGTGCGTGCGTGCTCAAGATCCTGAGAGGAGAATGAGGGAGAAGGGACTGTGGCATGGCCATCCCCCCTGGGGTGTGATTTCTTGCTTTTTTTTTTTTTTTGAGCTTTTAACTGTAGGGCAGGGAGAAAGACAGAGAGAGAGACATAGAGACAGAAAGCGAGAAATCACCCCCCAGGGGGGATGGTCACGCTGCAATCCCTTCTCCTCCATTCTCCTCTCGGGATCTTGGGCACGCATGCACACGCACCCGGCGTGAGTTTTAAGCCACCGGGTCCGGGACACGAACCGCGGTCAACTACGTGGGAGTCCAGCGACATAGCCATTATGCTAACTGCTGGTTCCCTGATTTCTTGCTTTTTATCTCTCCCTCTGGTGAACACATACGCCCTATAGCCCTGATTTTTCTTTCTTTTTTTTTTCTCTATAGCCCTGTTTTTACATAAATGGACAGTGTCTTAGCAACATATGCTGTTGGGCTAAGCCTTAAATCTTTTTGATTAGGAGCTAGCAGGTGGCATAGTGGAAAGGTGCTGGATCCCACTTGGCCAACTCCACGGTTTGAGTGCTGGCATGAAATCTGGTTGGATTCCCAGTCCAACCTAAAGGATGGGAGCAGTGGTGCTCATAACCTGTTACTCAGGAAGGCTGAGTCAGGAGGATCATGATATGGTAAGATCCTGTCTTAAAAAAGGAAACAAAGAAACAAAAACAGTGTATTGGGCTGTCTGTGTAGTACCATGGTGAAGCACTGCACAAAGGGAGTTGGATCCCACATAGCAGACAGGTTTAAATCCTGGCCTGGTGACTTGCAAGACAATCTGAACATGTGTGTGCAGGCCCAGGATCCTGATGGGATGGAGAATGGAGGAATAAAGAACTAAGAGTGGGACCAGCAGGTGGTGTGGTGGTTAAAGGCGCTGGACTCCCACATGGTGGACTGGTCCCACATTGAGTCCCGGACCTGGTGGCTTCTGTTTTCTTTCTCTCTCTCTCTCTCTCTCTCACACACACACACCCACACACACACACCCCCACACACAGACATTATGGGGGACTTCATGGTCAAATTAAAAAAAAAAAGAGAAAGAAAATAATTCTTTAAAAAAAAAAAAAACTAAGAGTGACCAGGCTCTACTGGGGGGATGCTCTCTCATGTGTGCACACATACCCTCTGGCATTAAACAAAACTTATTTACACAGTTAAAAATACAATTATTATTATTATTATTAATTGCTTAAAGAATAATTGACTATAAAATAATCATTAAAATAACTTTATTAATATAAACAACATTTATAAACACAAAGTGCACTGTGCTGAAATTAAGAATTTTCTGGGCCTTTCCATTGTCCAATATTGATAATGGCTTCCTTCATATAGGTTGTTGGAATACCTTTTACATCTAATTCTTATTTTTAACAAAATTCACAAAATTATAGTCTTCTAAAATGCCTTGAAACTACAGATATATCTCTTATTATAAATCTTTTAAAAAGAGTATCATTTATTTGACTTTATTTATCATTATTACTATTTTTTAAAATTTGATCAGAGAGACCCAGAGAGAGAAAGAGAGAGGCAAAGTGAGAAAGCAATCCACCAGGTCCAGGACTTGAACTGCTGTCAGCCATGTGGGAGTCCACCACCTCAACCACCACACCAGCTGCTGACCCGTCTTATTATAAATCTTATTACATACTGTTCATACAGTAGTATACTGTAGATAAAATTGTAGAAGCCAAATGATAACTCATTCATAGAATAATGCACTGGGACCAGCAGATGGCGTAATGGTTACATTGCTGAACTCCCATGAGTTGACTATGGTTCTAGTCCCAGACCTGGCAGCTTAAACTCATGCCAGGTGTGTGTGCATGTGTGCCCAAAATCCTGAGAGTAGAATGGAGAAGACAGGATTGGAGCATGGCCATCTCCCCCTGAGGGGGGGGGGTGCTTTATTTTCTGTCTCTGTCTCCCCAGCGAGCACATGTGCCCTACAGCAAAAATCTCTAAAAAAAAAATATAATAACCACACATTATTTTAATTAATGCCCCATCATCTAAACATAATTTCACATTTTCTTTTGAAGATGTACTTTTATTTGCTGCCTTAACTATCATGCACCTTACTATGTAACTTATTCCTCCAAAATGCCACACTTCTGAATCACATCTAAATCACAGTGCTCTGAAGAAGATAACAGACCAGATCCTTTTGACCACTCTCCACAACCAACAAGTTGCCAAATTCTGTGGTCAAAGTAATTATCCAAACTGAAAATGCCAGATTTTCTGAGTCAGTGGGATTTCGTGTTTTTTTTTTTTTTTTTTCCACTCAGTGCCCCTTCAGAGAAGAGGCCCTTATAAAAAGAGGGGTAACTGGTAAATGAATTTCCTTAACATTTCTAGGGCCAGCCGGTGGTATGGTGCTTAAGGCAGCTGGATCCCACGTGAACAATTGCAATTTCAGTTCCAGATCTGGCAGCTTGAAAACACACTAGCTTGGGATCAGCAGATGGCATATTGCTTATGTCACTGCACTCCCACATAGTTAACCAAGGTTCAAGTCCTGGACTCAGAGACTTAAAATTCTCGCCAGATGCATGTGTGTGCATGCCCAAGAAGAGAATTGAGGAGAAGGAATCGGCCATCTACCCTAGAGAGCGATTTCTTGCTCTCTTGTCTCTCTGGCAAGCACATGTTTTTGCTCTTGCAAGCAAAAATCTCTCAGAAAGAAAGAAAAGAAGGAAGGGAGGGAGGGAGGGAGGGAAGAAGGAAGGAAGGAAGGAAGGAAGGAAGGAAGGAAGGAAGGAAGGAGCACCAGCTCCTTTTGCATGTGTACCCAAAATCTCAAGAGAATGAAGAAGGGATTGCAGTATGGATATTCCTCTTGGTGGGAGGGTGATTTCATCTCCCACTCTCTCTCTGGAGAGCATATGTGCCCTATAGCAAAAACTAAACAAAAACAAAAAACGATTTCTACCTATATACAGTGTGTCCCAAAAGTCTTTTTAACCATTTTGAGCTTTAAATAAGCTTGGGAGTATAAAATGTGGCAAGCCTGCAGAAAACCTACATTAGCTGGAGGTTTAGTTGGTTAAATATCATTACTCTTCTTCAGTTTTGTGACTCTAGATGATGCGCTTTTAGATTCTGTTGAAGTGCCTGTGCTTGAAAATTGCACACAGTAACTGCTTTTAAGTTAGAACCTGAAACTGCACTAAGACTTTTGGAATACCCTGTGATTTGTGTGATTCCCAAAGCTGAGTTCCAATCCTGGCATTTTTAAACTAATGATTGAGATTTGAACTCTGAAATGGATTAGTGTTTTGTTTTTGTTTTCATTTTGCCAGAGGATGCATGTGCTCACGAGATAGAGAGAGAGAGAGAGAGAGATAGAGAGAGAGAGAGAGAGAGGGTTGAGAGGAGGGGTGTGAAAAAGCACTCTATATGGGGAGTGGTCATGCCACAATTCCTTCTTCTCTGTTTCCCTCTTCTTTCAGGATTCTGGGCACACACACACACACACACACACACACACACATGCCCCTGGTGTGTTTTTCAAGCCAGCAAATCTGAGACTCAAACTGTGCAGTCGGCCATATGGGATCCAGCTGCCTTCATCACTATACCATGGGCTGGCCCTAAGTAGTTTTCTTCAGAGATAAGTTCTCCTTTCTTACCATATCCTCAGAGGAAGGCTGATTGAAAATTTCTCTGACTCAGTGTCTTATAGCATTTTTGCTTACACATCACTGGAGATGTGATTAGTTTTTTTTTTTTTTTTTTTAGATGTGATTAGTTTTGTGAAAAGAATAAAGATATGCGATTCGCAATTTCTTGAGTTACAGTAATAAATCTCAGCCTCTGTGTCTGAGGTCAGTGCAACTAAAGATGATTGGGGCAGGACTATGACAGTGGACACCAGAGCAGTCATATTTTAATAAATCTCCACAGATTCACCCAGTTTAAAAAGCTGGTCTTGACTCTAGGTGTTACCTCTCCTTCTCCTTGATCACTGCTCTTTGGGTTTTTATCTGCAACATCTTCTGTTTTCATATGGGCCTCATATATTTTCTGGACTCTGATCATTTCTTTCTGTGCATCAAAATGGACTTTTTGCCTGGCCAAGATGGGAACAATTAAATTAAAATCATTGATTCGCTTGTTTAGTTTTCTGATATTTTCTTGAAATTGCTCACAAACTTGGTTCCACTGTTTCTGCTCAGTCAGTGTCATCGGATTCCCAAGTTTTTTCCTAGACACTAAAATGGCCTCTCTGAGTTGCTCGATAGTATCCTTTATTTCCTTTTGCATTAAGATCCATTCTGGTTGATAGCCATTATCTATCAATATTCTGTTCAGGTTGTGAGTCATGGGATCAATATACGAGCAGTCAGAAAACTTGTTCAGAGGTTTTCCTTTCCCACTGAGATTGTCAAAGTCTCCTTTTGCCATTGACTCCTGAATAAGGTCCTCCACCAAACGTTCTATTGCTTTAGTGATCTTCTGTTCTTTGCTCTGTCTTACATCTTTAACCGTTAAACTATCAGCAAAATACTGGCTGTGGAGTTTCTGCTTTTGATATTCCATCACTTGTTCAGTTGCACGGTCTGCCCGAAATTGCCTATATTGCTTCTCTCGTTGACTTGGCGTCCCAAAACCAATACCTTCAAAACTTAAATAATGCCGGTGTTGGGGTGTTTTATATTCGAACTTTTCTTCTTCTTCTTCTCCTTCATCAATTTTATTCTGTCTGCTATTTGTTTGTTCTGTCACATGGGAAAGCACCGTCCTGTAGGCTTCTTCTATCCTTATAAATGTTGCAGAATCAGCAGTACTAGAGCCACTGTCTGGATGGTACTGCTTGGCAAGCTTACGAAAAGATTCCCTGACATCGTCTGCACAGCACCCTTCATCCAGATTCAGCAGCCTATAATATTCTCGGATCTTCTTTTTGGATTTATGAGTAGACATCATTCTATTTTTAATGATACCAATATATGGAAGCATTGTCAGATGACTGGAAATTATTGAAGGATTTATCAGATGAGATTTTAAGATGTGAGCCATCATCATGTACCTGGTGTTCATTATTGTACCCAGAGTGCTTCCCAGCAATGATCTATAAAACAGAAACAAATACAGGTTGAACAAAGTTTTATGATCAGTAAAGTTTTCTTTTCTGCAATAAGGTAGATAGGGTATGAAACCATAAGTACAATAAAAGGCAGTTTGTTTTTTTTTAAAGGGGCTTTTGCATTAAGCCGTGTGTGCTTGCCTAAGAGAGAAAGAGACGACACAGTGTGAAGGAAAGTGAGAAATCACCCTCTGGGGGATGGCTACACTGCAATCTCTTCTCCATTCTCTTCCCAGGATCTTGGGCATGCATGCACATGCACCCAGTGTGAGTTTTAAGCCACAGGGTCCAGGACTTGAACCACCATTGGCCATGTGGGAGTCCAGTGACGTAACCGCTATGCTATATGCTGGTCCTGGTTCTTCCTTTTTTTTTTTTTACATTTAATTTATTATCATTATTTAACAAAATTTTTATAGGGCACATATCCTTATGAGAGAGAGAGAGAGAGAGAGAGAGAGAAAGTGAGACGGCAAGCTCCAGGTCTAGGACTCAAACCACAGTCATGTGGGTTGAGTCCTCAACCCACCATGCCACCTGGTGGCCCCAAGTCAGTTCTTTCTAATATATCTACCAAAATTCTTTAAAATTTTTTTTATCCTTTTTTTAATTAAAAATTTGTTTTGTTGGGACCAGCAGTTAGCGTAATGGCTATGTTGCTGGACTCCCATGTAGTTGACCGCAGTTCGAGTCCCGGACCTGGTGGTTTAAACTCATGCCAGGCGCGTGTGCGTGCGTGCCCAAGATCCCAAGAGGAGAAAGGAGGAGAAGGGATTGCAGTGTGGTCATCCTCCCTGGGGGGTGATTTCTCGCTTTCTGTCTGTCTGTCTCTCTCTATCTTTCTGGTGAGTGCATGCGCCCTATAGCAAAAACCTCTCCAAAAAAAATTATGTTTTTGTTTAACTTTATTTATTTTAATTTGACAGAGTAAGGAGCAGAGTGACTGAGAGAAAGAGAGATTGAGAGAAGCCAGGTCTGGGACTCAAACCATGATCAGCCATGTGGGAGTCCAGCACCCTTAACCACCACACCACCTGCCAGCCCGAACACTAATATAGTATGATATAATCTGGATTCTACTGCTCACTAACCACAGAATTTTAGAGTCCGAAAGTTCTTTGAGATCATTTAGTCCAATCTTCTCATTTTATGAGAAAATGTAGGTTATAGAAGGTTAAGCAATAACCTTAAGAAGGTATAAGTAAGATGGAGAGGGTTGAGCAAAATACGGACACTTGTTGGGACCAGCAGATGGTGTAATGATTGTATCACTGGACTCCCGCAAGATTGACCATAGTGTGAGTCCTAACCCGGTGGCTTGAAACTCACGCTGGTGCATGTATGTGCTTGCCCAAAATGCCAAGAGGAGAATGGAGAAGGGATTGCGGCATGGCCATCCCGCCAGGAGGTGATTTCTCGCTTTCTTTCTCTCTATCCAGTGAGTACACACGCCCTATACCAAAAAAACTCTTATGTGTGTATACATAATGCTTATTGTCTGCATTCCCATACATTATAAATTTCATTGGCACCATTTCTTCATGTCTTCATGTATCCTGGTTTTCATGATTCAAGGAATCTTCTCCAGACAACTTGCTCAAGTGAAATAGTGTAGCAGGATATCCAACCAGAGATAGGACACGGAGGCTTTTTGTAGGAAAACAGCAATTAGTGCTGGCACTGGCTTGGCGGATTGGTATCTAAAGGCTGAGCCTCCAGTTTGGAGGGCTCATCCTTACATTCACTTTAGCCCCTTAGTCTGCCCTATATGGTTATGCACTCTTTAGACACTTTGGATTGGGTAACGGTATGTGATAAGGGTGCTGCGCGTTATGCTGGTATGCACTGGGCTTTCAGAAGCAGGCGTAGGTGAAGTTACACAGTTGCTATAGAAACGGTTACAAGGTTACTACAGGTTACACATGCTGCTTAAGTCCTAAGGATGCCCATTATCTTTCTTTGTTTTGGAAGGCCCCCCTACTACAACAGAATGTTAGGACATACGTGCCCGGTCCGATACCACGTGAATAGAATCAAATGCCCGTAAGACAGAGCTCAAGGTCGTTAGGAAAGAGGAGAAACCAAGATAAAAGGTGAGCCCTTCCAATAAGCTCGCCAATTTAAAAACGGATGGTCCAGTACAGAGAGAGACTTGGCAATGGCAACGAAACACGGCCAAGAGTCTGAGGGGAAGTGCACTTTTTATACGTAGCTTCTGGGAACCCCCTATTTTCTGGACAGTGAGGGTCAACGGCTCTTAGAGCTGAGATGTGGCGGTTACCCCGGCTGCCA